AAGAGAGACAGAGACAGAGACAGAGACAGAGAAAGAGACAGAGACAGAGACAGAGACAGAGAGACAGAGGGAGAAGGAGAAGTGAGAACTCTAAGAAAGAAGGCGAAAGAGTAATAAAAATAGACAAGGTGAGGAGACCGGGGAAAGAGAGGGAACAGAAAAATGGGAAATGGGGTGAGATTGGGAGAGAGAAGAAGAGAGGACCGGAGAAAAGAAGGGTGCAGGGTTGGTAGGGGGGGGGGGATAAAAGAAAAGTAAAAATCAGACCATTTGTCTTCTCTTGGTACCTATATGTCATTTGAATTTGATTCAACGCAGTCAACTACGAAGAAAACATGGGGGTGTACTCTTACTCTATCCAAATTGGGAGGTAACTTTCTACGAATCTCAGTTCACTTTTTAACCCCTTCATTATTTTGAACGTTTCCATCTATGTTTCTATGGAAAAGAAATGAGATTCAGATACCATAAAATATTTAAGAATAAGTAAATTCTCAAGCTGTAAGTTTACCTACTAAAACTTCTTGTGTAAACCTGATAAAACAATCAAAGAGGAGAATAATGGCCAGAGAACACATCTACTCAGCAGTGAAGAGGTTAAGTTACCGTTATTTCCCTACGTTTCAACCCTTTCGTTCAATGATATCCTTTCTCTTAATATTTCCTTCTAAAAATTCTATTCCAGCATTGTGATGTGGCAGCTAGGCTCTTCGCCGTTGCACACAGAAAATACGAGTTCTATCACTGATTGGAGAAGTTATTCTATAGAATCTACGTATGCCTGCTGGAACTTTGTATCTTTGTGGTTTTGCTTGGGTTGGCTCGGGCAGGTAGAATTGAAGCAGTCCGCCACCCGAAAGATCTAAATTGTGTCGACTGGGGTGTAAAAGACGACCAAAGAACAAAGTACGTGTAATCTTAATATTGTCGGCCAGAGAAGTGTCTTGTGGCGGGGAAAAGGCAGAAGAGATTCGTATTGTAAGGGCAAAGACTCAACTCATTAGGCTGTCTCGCCATTGATCACTTTTGAGAGGGTGACTTCCCTTTGTGTCCTCAGCCTGACCGCGCCTCAATAATACTTTCTCGACAATAGCAACTACGTGCCCCCTCACTGTCCCCACGCATACTACAGGTTTCCCTCTTTACAACCACTCACCTCCACACTCGGGCGGCTCTCCAGTCCACTGACTTCCAACGTCACAAGTGAGTGACCACCTCAGATTTTCCCTCCCCTCCTCCTGGTAGAAACACTCATAGAACACCTGGTCCCCGTAAACCAGCTGCACTGAAGAGCTGAGCGACCACTGACGAGCTCCCGAGTACACAGGGGCGGCACCACACGCTAGCGCTGAAAATACAGTCGAACCTTCTCTAATAAGGACATACATTATACTCTAATACCTGTATAAGACAATCACCTGTATAAACGGTCACTGCAAACTTAATTTCCCCTTTTCGTCCATTTTTTTTTGGTCCCGTGTCCTGATTTTGGTGCCGTTATTTTGTAGGTTGCGTAAAAATGTATTGACAGGGTGCAAATTGTTAAGTTTTCCAGAAAAACCAAACAAGAAAAGGGGAAATTGTTCGGTCGATGATAATGATGATGATGATGATGATGATGATGATGATGATGATGATGATGATGATGATTTATGGTGACGTTGATGATGCTCTAATGTTGGAAATAATGTGCATATTAGTCTTAGTGTTCAGTGTGTTTTTTTGTTTTTTTTGGTTGGCGCTTACTCTAGATCCCCACCAGGCGGTGACTCTTCTCCAGATTCCACGTGGTCTTCCCCTTGATCTTTTACCTCAGGGGTTCCAATCCAACACTGTCTTGTTATCCTACTGCTTGACTTCCAGAGAGTATGTCCAATTCATCGCCACTTCCTTCTTCCCACCTCATCTCAGACTGGTCTCTGCCTTGTTCTACTTAATACTTCCTCGTTAGAAACCCCGTCTGTCCATATGATCCCAGTAACTTCCTTAGACACTTATTCAAGAAAACCTGGATTCTCTTTACGCAAGTCTGAGAGGCGTTCCTTGTCTCACATCCATACAACAAGGCTGACTCCACATGCACACGTGTTTGTACAAAGACAATTATTAATGTACATTAATTAACACCCGCAAAACTTACACCTTAAAATACGAATACACAGACAAGCACGAATATCTAATACATAATACGTCATTCGTATACACATACAAACACACTCACAAAGATGCCCGGACGCACAAATAAATATACTCACGTAGACAGACGAGCGCGTTACCGCTCCAAGTAGCATCAGCCTGACACTCGCGCTCAACGTCACCGTCCACCTTCTCGTGTCCAATGTCACACTCGTAATGGGCACGTGACTGGAAGATGGTGTTGGTGTAGGTCACATGACTCAGGTCACGGTCGCTGGGAGGGCCGCAATCTTTTTCTGTGGGTGGTTTCGAAAGTGGGAAAGGGGGGGGATCATTGAGAGAACACAATGTGTAGGCCATTCTGCTGTACTTATAAATGGTGACAAAATGACAGAGGGATAGAAATTAGATTAATAATATGTACAGTCGAAACTGTCCAAGATGGCCACCCATTGTTGAAGAGAAAAAAGGTTGTTTTACACACTTAAAACGCATGGCGCGGGGTGGGGGAGAAGTTGACATTTGTAAGGTGATTGTCATAGTCAGGTGGCCATTAGAGCAGGTTCGACCAAAACTCCCTGGTTCGACTGTTCATATACGAGTTACCGCTTCCAACCACTCGTACTTAAGGTTATAATATTTTTACGAGATGAGGTCAGATAACGTGAAAACATTTAAGACCCCCTTCCCCTCTGAAAAACAGTTATTAATGAACAAAGGTGATTCGATTAATTGCAAATGTTTTACAACCTTGTCACAGTTAAGATTACAGGAAGAGGGCTGTTTTGTGAGTCTGCGAGAGCCAACCCCGGAAGCATTTACGAAATTGAGTCGGTGGGGCGTTTGAAGCAGTTACAGTTAATCTTTAATGGCATCTGCAACGCAAATCGGCGATCATCGTTCGCCACTCATTACCTTCCTTGGATGCTCTAGAAACAAAACAAAAACAAAACATAATCCTGGTCTCCCTCCGTCACCCATCTGTTCAGGTTTTCCAAATAAGTTGCTTGGGTATACCCTTTCTTCGTTTGCCTTCAACTGTACCATATGATAGTCTTCTTCTTCGCGTACCTCTGCTAGATCTCAAAGGTAGTCGACTGTTGGTCCTTCAACTTGCATGCAGTGAAACTGATTTTTTCGTATCCGACCGTTTTTCCTACTTCGTATAGGGCCCCCTGCCTTCAATAGAGATGAAAGCAGATGGAAGCACGTACAGGACTAGAGGGTTGGAAAGGAGGTCAGACGAGAACATTTTTAGGAGGATTTCTTTTTTCGTAGCTAGCAGGTTTCGATCCTGTGACCTTTGAGAGGTGAACTCCGTACCACTTGACCATGAAAGCTCCACCCCCCTCCTTCCGCCCCCAAACCAAGTTGCAATAACAATAACATCTTAAAAAGAGAGCCACAGACCAACACAGATGATGAGGTCTCCGGACCAGGTCCCTGTGTGGTCACAAGTGACAGTCCAGTCCCCGGAGTGTCGCTGGTAGCCCGCCAGACAACTGTAGGTGGCGCTGTTGCCGAATGTCGTGTTGTCTACGTCACAGGACGAGTGTGCCGGAATGGTCGGTGGCCCGCAGTCCACGGCTGAGGGAAGAAGAGAGGATAACTATAAAGATCGTGGAAGTGGGAACCTGTCCAAGACGACAGCCCAAAGCCGAGGATAAATGTTCATCTTATACAAGTGGTCTTCTTGGGCAATGTCAATATTAAAGACTCTACCAGAAACACAAGGGGGTGAGGCAGAAGGGAGTTGGAAGAGGTCGTAAGTACGGAAGGTTGTCTTGGACGGTGGTAATAGGACTAATTTTTGCCACGACCTAACAAAGCTTAACAAAATTAGAACTAACGTTTGAGAACTGAGTGCCTAAGTTTCAAGTCTACAAGTTTAAGGCAGCAACATTCGATCAAAGGAACTATGTATCATTTTTGTAAATGACTAAAGTATTTTCAATTTTTTGGATTGGAAGTAATTTTGAATTTGGCTCAGATGGCTGCCGAAGCCTATTTAGTGATTAAAAATTCCCAAGGGACCTTAAACGTGCACAAATTGCACCCGAAACCTCCGAAATGGCCAAAGGTATTCGATCTTACCTACTCTAAAATCAGGGGTGTGGCTAAAAGACAGCAGTAAGAAGGAGCTAGAAGTAGCAGCAGACAGAGTCAGGAATGAGGAAGAGAGGAGCAGAAGGGGAGGGACTTAGGGGGGGGGGGGGGGGGTGAGCGAGTGGAGAGAAAAGCCGATGTCAGAATAGGACTAAAAAACAGGAAAAGAGGACAGGGGAGAAAACTTTAGAAAGGAAAATTGTTCGTTTCTTGCAGGATTCAATTCTGAAATCTTTTGACAGGGAGGTGAACACAGTATCTCCCTGACCACAAAATGTATTTCGAGAGCCCCCAACTCTAAAAACATAATGTAGTAGTCCAGCCCAGTTAAAATGCCTTCAAAGAGTGAAACCTAAAATAATAATATTATTATATTTTGTATTCTTAATAGGTGAAAGTTAGGGTATATATATGTCACCGGAAAATGATGATTTTCGTGTAAACTCTAGATATTATCACAATGGCTTGATGACTAATAATGTTACCGTTAGGTACATGGAAAGATGGGTGGAC